TACTGCTCCCTCTACCTGTTGGACTGCAGAAGCAATCAATCACCCCGTTACTCGGCAACGGATGTGCTGTCAGAATTGAAGTAGCTACGTTGACAACACGAAGTACCACGTATGTTAGCAAACTGAAAGGGAACGTAGTAGCTGGCGAAAATACTGAGCAAACGAATGTATCTTTGACTCACTATAGGCAGTCCATCTAAAGTGGGCGGTAACATTTACTCCATTTCCTACAGAGTTATGCTGTTTGAAACAGTTTCTAGTTCTGAGAGGAAGAATTCGTAACGTAACGAAATCCATGGTACAAAGTTTTTCCTAAGAAGATGAAAATCACTGAGCAAACCAAGAAATTTCCTTCTGTATAAGAATCCACGGAAACCTGAGGCCATGTGTAATATTTTATTATTTGTGTTTCCTCCACTGAGGTGTTCTTAAACCCCTTCCAAACCCCAAACTAGAGGACCACCATCGTCGGCTTCCCGCTCCTGTTTAGTATTTCCGCAACTGCCCTCTAGATCTTGGAAGCCATCTCGCCCCATGCCACGATGAGAAGATTAGCAATAGAGTAGTTTGCAACGAAATTCTGCAAAAATGCGCCAGTTCGCGTTCCACTGTCTCCCCAGCCGATACCCGAAGGTAGCAAGTCAAAAGTAGCATAACGGGCTTCAATAACATTTGATATTGTAGAATTTTACTAAATTTTTGGGGTATGATCCAGTGGTATTTAAGATCGTACAACAACAATGGACATTTTGCACCAAGACCTACCGTATTTTCTGCATCGAAATGGTGAATAACTCGCCATGTTTTCATCAGAGTTGAAAATGTTTCGAATAAAATTTGCAGAGAAACACAAAACACAGCACACTTTTCCCCGAAAAGTCCATCGGATTTAGAGATAAAGGAACAAAATACAGTGAGTGTGTCAGAATTTTTGCGCTCTTGTTTGAAGTGTTGAGCGTTAGCCCTACGCCCATTTCTCAGATAGGACAAAATATTTTTAGCTGGCCTACATATCTAGGGGTCATCTAAAAAATCGGCGTTCTAATGACGTACCAGCTATTTTCATGATCATTAAATCACGAAGAATGAAGTAACCAGTCATAAGGGGACTAAGGAATGCACATAACATTTTGGAAATTTTGTAAGAAGGAAGAACTTGTGAGAGAGACTCAGATGGAAGAGTAATAAAGATATTATACGAAAAGCTTGTAAAGATGTGACCTGAGTTTAACTGGCTCAGCACAGAACACAATGGAGAAGCTATATGATGACTATTATGCAGATTTTGTTTCCTTGACAGCAGGGAATTCATGATAAAGCAAATATTTGAAACTGGGGGGGGGGGGGAGAAAAAANAGAAAAAATTACATAATAATGAGCCTCACAGTTTATACTGTCACGATTTAGTGATCTGACTATAGACGGGACGTGAACTGGATAACGGATTTATTGACACAATTCGGAACTACAAGTAATTATGACGATATCGCTAATCTCCACACTTCATAGTTCACTGTTACGCACACTTGTGTCCTCAGTCTATTACAGTCTCCATTATCCGTTTCCTGGCAACGGATTTTAATACAGGATCTATAACAGCCTCACTGAATTACAGCACACGTAGAATCTTCTCTTCACAGCCCGACTGTCAACTGAACACCAGCTCAGTAGCTTCCTTATTTTATTACCACTTCGGACGGACCGAACAGAACATATAACTCCCAACAATCCTTCAATTTTTGTTTGCGTATCCGCTGCCGCAGAAACTGTTTACCTAGCCGTTGTCTAGCAATGGACGTTTCCTCTGGCTTAATTATTCCGGCCTGCATGCGTCATGTCACAGTACTCTTCGAGTGATGCTGTTAATATGATCAAACCAAAGTGGAATGAGATTAGCGGGACTTGTAGCATTGGCGAAGGGAATGGTAAAGCCTGCAACATTTGGGTCGGGAAGCCAGAAGTAAGAAACTTCGGCGTCGATGGAGGCAGCAGTTTCCTCCGAAACATTGACACCACTGCCAGACTACACTGCATAACATTCCTGAAGACAGGGATCTTCATTGTCGTCGCAGTGAAGACCTCAGTGTTTACAGAGTAATGTTAAATTCGAGCTTAAAGGAATGACAGGATATAGGCCAGATTCATCTGGTTCAGAACATGGTCCAGTGGCAGGCTGTAGCGAACATCGTAAAGAAACTTCAGTCTCCTTAATTCACGGCGCATTTCTTGAGTAGCCAAACGACAGTTAGCTTCTTGAGAAGGACTCTACTCCAAAGAGTTCACTTTATGCATGTGAGATTGTGGCAGTGACAGTTAATTTTATGCATGTGAGATTGTGGCAGTGACAGTTCATTTTATGCGTGTGAGATTGTGGCAGTGGCAGTTCCAAATCATAATATCTTAGTGTTGTGTTTCATACATATATTTTCATGATTTGATTGGCTGAATTTTTCTTGAAAAAGAAGGCAAACGACAAGTGCGAGCCTGAGGGAGTGCGCTAGTGAAACTGGTCTTCGAATTTAAATTTGACAAGACTTGTTTTCATTCTAATGAATCAGTTTCGGTAACATTGCTACGCTGATCTCGAAGGCGTCATTCGTCTTTTACCATGACATCATAATTTTTCATAGATTAGGAGCATTGAAAATGCATTTTCTGTGGTCTGATTATATTTATTTATTGTGTCCTAATGAACAGACCATTGTTTTAATCTTCTAAAACACCAAAACGAATCGGATTATAATGAAGAACATCTCTCTTTTCAGTGAATAGCGGTAATTTGCTATCATTTTGACATTTGCCTTTGCGTAATATTCCTTCTCGATTTCTTTTACGTTCAGGTGAATTACTTTCGTTTGATCACCACTAAAACTATCGAGATTTTCAACTAAAAAGCATTCCAAATGAGACTGTAAGAGATGAACCTTGAAAGTCGTATTAAGGCCCACCTTTTGAAAATTCTTGATCTTGTTTTCAATAATCGTTTTGTAATTCGTAACATTATTTTCCCTAAGAAGTTGCGAATACCGTTTTTAAGCCCAATCAGCTTCCTGATTTTAGGCTTAATGAGAACTTCTTTAACGTTTTCATGCCCGAGAGTTGTGAATTTGTTGCAAATGTACTCGAAACAGCCACTAATCTTATCCATCGCCTTCACAAACTGCTTTATCATGTCCAGTTTTATATGCGCTGGGCCTTACAGCACTTTATTTGGGTCAACCAAACATACGTTTTTAGAGCCTCGTATCAAACTGACTCTTAAGGGACCACTGCTTCTTCAGCAATTGCAGAAGTCATGTTCTGTCTCACAGTATGGTAGCCAACGAGATTCTTCCCGATTTCCTCACTTTCCAGAACTTGCTAGGAGAAGGAATTTACGACGCTCTGAATTCGTCACAGAACTAAGTATATGCTTCAGAATAATTTTACGTCCTTCACAGATAACCACGTAAGAGACAGGTATGGAAAATGCTGAAAGTAGTTGCGAAACACATGTTTAGTTTCGTGGTCAGTTAAAAGTATCGTGTCACCGGTAGTTATGTCACGAAACTGCATGAGTTTATCTTCATTCATCCATCAGTAATCTGTCAAGACAACAGGTCCACAGTCTCTTCCAAAACAGTTCCTCCACTTGCTGCGATCTAGAGCTTTCTCCTTCAAATGAGAATATCCTCTTCTGTCCCCGAGGTCATCCAGCATCTTCTTACGTCTTCTTCCTCGTCTTCTGGTCACTTCTATCCGCCCCTCTATCTTTCTTTCAATAGCTTCTTTTGGAAGGCAGTTACTGCGTAAGATATGACCAATCCAATTAGCCTTCCATTTTATTATTTCGTGTAGGATATTCCTCTGCTCACTGACTCTAAATAACACTTCTTCATTTCTCACATAATCGGTACAATTGATCTTCTCTATCCTTTTCTAACACCACATTTCGAAGCTTTCCAGGTGTTTCTGATCTACTGCCCTAAGTGTCGAAGTTTCAGCCCCATACAAAGCGAAGCTCCAAACGTAGCATTTCACTAGTTTTTTTCTCAAATTTAAGTCCAATTTGCTGGTAAAAAGATTCTTCTTCTTGCTAAATGCAGCTTTTGCCATGGCAATCCTAGATTTAATTTCACAAGTACACCTTCCATCATCTGTTAACAAGCTACCCAAATATTTAAAACATTTCACATTCTCCAGTTGTTTTTGATCTATCTTTATTGTGACTGGGGATGGTTGTCTCGAAATTTATCTTATGCGATGTTTATTAAATTTCGACAAAATCTTCAACATAAGCTCATGAAACAAGGTGGAAATGCACATATAGGTAAAGTACATCATCGAATAACATCTTTACTGAAATAAAGGTTGAACGTAATTCGTTTGTAATGTGATATTGGTATACTAATTCTTTTGGAGTTATATAAGTATTCTCCATTGAAGTGCAATCTTAAAACAAACCAAATAAATATTTATTCATGTATCTAGGCGCAGAACATGACCAGGGGCACCCATTCTGAAATCTTAATTTTTTTTCTACTTACTAAATATTTTTAAAGCAGAGCAGCAGTCTGATTCGTCCTCATCCCTGGGACGGAACAGTACATGTGCCCAGACAGATGTAGACAGAAACATACTTCCAATATATTCTAATGCATCCCTTTACATCGGGCAACTATTCAATTGTTTTATTTTAGATTATTTATTGTTTGACAGATTTAGAGCTATTAGTAAAAATTGAGACTTTCTAAAAATTTGTGGTTTACTTTCAAATATTTATAATTTACTTATATTTATAAAATGTGTGCACATAACTGATTACTAGTATTTATATTCATTATTTATCTTGGCATATTGAGGAAAACAACGAAGCATGTCCCTCTAAATCTCGAAACGGGAACTTCCTAAGACCGAACATTAGTGTCATTGTCACTGTGAATCTCGATAACCTGCTTTCAAAACCAAAACGAAGCGCGCTGAAATTTCAGCTGATCTCTTCTGTTGTCTCTGTTTTCCAGACATCAGTAACATTATGCAGTCTGGGAGTGGGCGCCACGTTTGGGGATTCTATCTTGCACGACTTGCCGCGGGACAGCACAGTGGTCACGCGGTCGACATGCGAGCTGCTCAGGGTAGAGCGGCAGGATTTCAAGCTCATATGGGAGGTGAGTCACACGCTGTGTAATGTGTTACGTTTGAGAGAAAGGTCACACATTGAAACTTGTAGCTCGGAAGGAAGCCACACAATGGGACTTCCTTCCCCAAGTGTAGATTTGGGATCTGACTCATGCCGTACATTCTGGTTAATCAGATGTATATCTGGGTGAGCACACCTTTGGGAGAAGGGTCACATTTTGCAGTTTGCTTCATCAAGTGCACATGTGAAAGGTGAATCGCACGTCTGAAAGAAAAGTCCCATCTTACAGCTGTCGTCATCAAGTGTACGTCAAGGAGACAAATCGTACATCGCAGCTTGTAAAATTTTGTTTGTAGATAGATCATGAACATAATGTGCAACGCGTCCTGATGAATTAATTTGCCGACAATGCGAGCCAAACAGCGCAGTGTGTGTCTAGTGCTACTGGTGCGAACTACACGTATGTATAGCTACCAAAACATACGGTATTTATTTACAATCGGAACTACAGTTCTTCCGGAATATGGTTCTTTCTTTGTCAGTGCCACATTTATAGGGATTCAGAGTCCTGTGGCCAGATTTTAGGAAGTTGTTGAGAAGAAAATTTGGAATGAATATGTAAATAAACTGCTGTCAGATTTGCCACCACTTCAGCGTTTCAAACTTTGGTTTCTTTATGTGTATATGTATTTATTCTTTATTCTTAGTGGGGTGAGACTGAGTTCACTCGATACTGCGGTCACTAGTGGCCTAATATACCAGCCCCAGATGAAAGATGATTGTGACTGTGGAGCAATTGGTGGAGTGAGGATTGACGGGGGAAACCGAAGTACGCGGAGAAAACCTGCCTCAGCGCCACTTTATCCATCGCAAATCCCACATGACACCCGGATTCGAATCCGGGCTTCCGCTGTGGGAAGCCAGCCGGTAACCGCTTGAGCTATGGCGCGGCCTTGTGATGTATGTGTATATATATGTATGTATGTATGGTAAAGCCCTCATAACGTTACAAGACGGAGTTCGTGCTACATTCACTTATGATTCACATTACTTCGGCGCCAAAGTATTGATAACAGCGAGACGAGATGGCACGATATATTATAATGGAGTATGCTGATACTTGGGGGCACGCGGTAGCGCAATTTGTTGAGGCACTATGCTACAAGCCGGAAGGTCGAGGGTTCCAGCCGCACTATGGCCCTGGGATCGACACAGCCTCTAACAGAAATAGTATCAGGAATCTTCCTGGGGATAAAGCACGGCCGGCGCATAAAGCTGACAGCCTCGCCGATTGTCTGTAATATGTGGGGGCCTCGACGTCTCACAACCCAATGGGCCTGTTACAGGGTTAGCTTTATGTAGACGCTTCTTTCATATACGACTTTGTGATGAAAATGCTGACGCTGTCTCGACAGAATACCGGCGTTGGTATCCAGATAGGAGGCAACCCAACAGACATATGTCTGCAACGGTACAGGGCGGGCTAGGGGAAACTGGCACATTCACGTTAATAGCGCGCACTGGCCGTGGCAGAATGATGTGTTAAATGTTGTACATATTAATCCATCGACTGGTGTTCGTAGGGTCGTGTGTGAAGCAGTTTGGCATACTCTGCAGGAGTGGCATGAACAACTTGCACAAAAGCTACAGCCAGTTTAAGGGATCCTACAGAGAATTATAGATGAACTGGACCTGCTCTGCCATGTATTGTGGACTGATGTGGCAGCATTCACAAGGAATGGAGTAAACAGTCTCCAGTACCTACCTGAATGGGCACTAAGAATTCTGTTTCGCAACGCTCGTCAGTTCAGTACGAATTAACACAAGAATTTTGGCATCACAAGTGCCCAGTATGTGATAGCGAATCGTCTCAGTGCATTCCATTGCCCTGTTTTCCTTGGAAATGCGCTTCCACTTTTATTTGTGGGCGTATCCCTTAATGTTCACAATGTATTTGATTTGAGCAGGTCGGCGCCCCCCCCCCACTTTTAACGCCAAGTGCGTAATTGAATGAACATCAATTTTCCCGGCACATGGCTTGACCGTGAGCGTCCGACGGTCTAGCCTCCGCGTTCCGGTCTGTGCTCACTTTTCCTCCAGAGATGCATCCTAGGAACTATTTATACTAGTACGGAAATACTACAGGGAAGGGGACACGCGATACCGTAGCTGGTTGAGGCCGGAAGGTCGCGGGTTCAAGTCTCGATAAGGTCATTAATTTTTTTTTCAATTTACCTAATCCTTCCAACAGCACTATGGCCCTGGGGTCGACTCAGCCTCTAACAGAAATGAGTATCAGAAATTTTCCTGGGGTGTAAAGTGCGGCCGGCGCGTAAGGCTGACAACCTTGCCGCCATCTTTGAGCCGGTTGTCTAGAAAATGTGGGAGCCTCAACGTCTCACAACCCTATGGGCCTTCACGGCCTGTTACAGGGATAGCTTTACCTTTACGGAACTACAGGATCAGTCCCATCCTGGTAGCTGTGACAGATATTAGGGACCAACCTAGAATATTGATTCATGTCACGGATTCTATTCGATGTTTCTGTGAAGCGTGCGCGAGACCTGGAGGAGGTAACTTTGAACAGCTCATGTGAAGGAGCACGTAGAACCATGAGGGTCCTCACATTGCGATCAGACGCAGTAAAGGTTGTGTTTATGGATTCTTTTTTTAAAAAAGACTAAATATAGTTTAATGGTAGCTTAATATAAAACACAAGTGGGTGTAATACTTAACATGTAATTTTTTGTTAATCAAGGATTCATTCATTCATCAGTAATCTGTCAAGACTACAGGTCCACAGTCTCTTCCAAAACAGTTCCTCCACTTGATGCGATCTAGAGCTTTCTCCTTCAAACGAAAATATCCTCTTCTGTCCTCAAGGTCATCCAGCATCTTCTTACGTCTTCTTCCTCGTCTTCTGGTCACTTCTATCCGCCCCTCTATCTTTCCTTCAATAACTTCTTTTAGAAGGCAGTTACCGCGTAAGATATGACCAATCCAATTAGCCTTCCGTTTTCTTATTTCGTGTAGTATATTCCTCTGCTCACTGACTCTAAATAACACTTCTTAATTTCTCACATAATCGGTCCAACTGATCTTCTCCATCCTTCTCCAACACCACATTTCGAAGAATTAAGGATATTCAATGCAAATAACGTTGACATTTATTTCATTAAGAAGCGACGAAACATTGTAACTCGAAAATTTATGTACATTGTCTGCTCAAAGTTATTAACCAAAGAAGCTCCTAAAGTTTAGCTGTATGACTTTAAGTTTCCTGATAGTGAAAACTTTAAAGAGAAAATAGCACTGAATTGAATAAATACAAGTTTACTCTCATAAGTGAGAAAGAACTTCAACGAGGATTAGAATCGCACCCAGGAACACTACTGTATATGTCGGTAAGAGTATTCTGAGGAATATATTTCATGTCTATGAACGTTCCGTGTCAGGTCCGCAGGACAGAACAAACAGAAACCGACATGAAGGTTACGTTTTCAAATCCAGTGTGTCCATGAAGCCCTTATCTGTTTTGTTACTATGCAAATCACGAAATGTTTAGTCGCCTATCTTTTTGCACTTTGCATTATCGCACTTTAATGCACACAGATTACAAATGTGCCTTACAAAAAACGAAACATACTACTATTTCAATAAAATAGATCAACTTCATGGGTATCTTCTATATTAGATAGATCTTTCACGCTTCATCACATGTACTGAAGGTTCTAAATAAAGTACTCTTCATAAGTTCTTCTCACATATACTTGTGATCATATTAAGTCAAAAGGCACTTCATGGTGTTCCTATGATATCGAAGTGTGTTTTATGGTGGATTCCGTGTGCACTTTTATGGAGTGCTGTCGAAACACGGTAGAGTACGTGAGAGGGGCATCGTATTGAGCAAATGCTCGCTTCTGCTTAGTGTGGAACTGCTGTAACAGTAAGTTTGGGGCTCAGTAAAATATTACGAAATTCCAAGTTAGGCTTCAATTGAGTGGAACTGAACATTCATCTTTCGCATGTTGAGTCAATCACTTTCCGCGACAACTAATTCGAAGCGGTGGCAAAGGCATTTTTCTATTCTGAACTGAGGCTTGTTTATTTTGCATAGCCTGTCGTCATTACGGTTGAGATAATACTTCAATTGAACTACAAATCTGCCTTAGTGACATCCTACAGCATTTCCGTAAGCGTTCAGAATACGAGTGGTTACGCTGTGTTCAGGGAGAACATGCAGTTAGCAAAGCGCATTTAGGAAGCACCCCCACAGAGAGCATGCTGTAACTAACGTCATGAAGTTGAGCCTTTGATTAGCGAGCAGTCGCTCAGATAATCAATTTTTTCCCTGCCTAGTGCGGAACCTGAGAATTTGTTACCGTATTCACAATAACATGCCCCTGTGTGCCAGGTCAGTATAGTCCAAACCATCAAAATACATTTATTTAAGATACATTTTGGCATCAGCCTCTCGTTTACACTTAGGTCTTTCAAATGGTTTGGATTTCGGTTTTTCCGACTACAGTTCTGTATACACTTCTAGCTGCTCTGACCGTCTTGACCTTGATTTGATCTCCATAATAATATTTAATGAATATTTATTCATTCATCTCGCTACAACTTTGGAGCATAGGGCTAATTTCCAGTTTAATTGATCATTTTTTACAGACGGTAGGACGCCTTGGACGAGTGATCAGCCTGTAGCCAGACCTCTACCTAAACACAGGACAACACAAACAGAATAAACACATACACATACCAGAGATCCATGCCCTGTGTGGATTTCGAACCTGCGATCCCTGCTTCCGAGCGAGCGAAGACAATTCATGCCTTAGACCTCTCGGCTACTGTGACCAATACATGTCTCAGACATCTCGGCTACTGTTACCGGCCATTTTATGAATAATACCAACTGAGAATTCCCCCGTTTTGCAGATTTCACTGGCCTCCAATATAAATCATTATCTTTTACACCCCTCTAATTGTTAGTGATAAAGTTAAGAACGGTCCATAAACCGTGATAGC